CCCGGGTTCGAACCACTTCGCCGCCGCCCGTCTTCCCAGACAGCCTTTGTATTGCCGCCTCCTGAATGTTGACTGTACATTTGTATATTTAATAAGTAAAAAGTAAAAAGACATTTACGTTTATTTATTTATGAAAATCACACTATCTGCACATTTTGAAAAACTACAATGAGCAGAGCATGTGTATGCATTTTAAAATAATTTATTTTTTCATAGAGGATTGGCGGAAACACTAAGTGTCAAACCATTAAAATTCACGTTTGTTTAGTTGAAACTCTTTCCCAATACCTCACGGAAAGACCTTGCAGCAATGGGAGACACTCAAATTAGGTTAGCGAGATACACTCCGTCCTTACACTTACCGCGTTTGTCTCCACTGCATTTTATGTGACTTGTCTGCTCAGTTTAGCGATGAGCACTGAGAGGGTTGAAATGGCGATTAGGATCCAATGTCCAATTGTTTTAGGTAACTGAAGAAATGGTATTCAGACAAGCCCGGTATTCAGTAGGGTAACAGAGAAAAAATCTGCAACCAAAGTTGATTGATGGAGGCCGTTTGAAGCTCCAACCTCACGCACTACGGCTCATCACAGTGAATTAAAACGCTGGACCATAACTAAGCGATGAAATCCCATTCAACAATCCGATAGCGAACATATATACATGACACCGGCTTGTAGACAAACATGGTGCCAAGAGCAAGGATGGCACAAGTACGTTTTATGAGAGAAACAAAGAGCGAAACCAATGTAATCACTGCGTGAGGCAAACGATAATGCGAGCTTGAAACTCACCGTCCGGGCTGGTTTTGTTTTATTGACACCCTGAGCCGATTTATCGTGCGGAACTGACGGTTTTACACGATCAGTTGATCCTGAAGGCAAAGCGCCGCTGTTAGATTTTGTTGGGATCGCTTTGACAGAATGTGTTTGTACCGAGGATTGTTCCGAGACACGCGGTTCAGATAAACAGGATTTGGTCGCCGTTGGTTGCGGAATGGGTCCACCACGTGGCCGAGATACCCCTGCCGATTTTCGATGAGGCTTTGGATTATGGCCGTGTGTAGAGGGTCGATGTGTGGCAGCATGAGAACTTTGCATCATGGCTTGTGGAAGTGGAGCCAAGGATCGCACATTA